CATCCCAGCTTTTTGCCAATGCACAACCCAGGAGGTAGCAGGTGATGACACAAGTACTTGGGCCCCTGCCCCCCACATGAGATACCCAGACTGATTTCCTGGCCCCTTGTTTCAAACTGGCCCGGGCCTGGCTGGTGCAGGTATTTGAGGGAGTGAACCAGTAGGTGGAAGATCTCTCTGTCTCAGTTTCTCCATATTTAAAATAAATTAAGTAGGGGCCAGCATTGTGATCCAGTAGGTTAATTCCTTGCCTGTGGGCGCCAGAATCCCATATGCGTGTCAGTTTGATTCCTGGCTGTTCCTCTTCCAAACCAGCTCTCTCCTATGGCCTGGGAAAGCAGTGGAAGATGGCTCAAGAATAAGAGATGAAGGAGGTAGTCTGTAACTGGAAGGCAGTATAGTTCTGCAAACCGTCCTAAAGACTTACTTCTAAGGGTACAGCCTAAGAACCTGTCACAGGACTCCAAACCCATAAAAATCGGTGGTTTAAATTCCATCGTAACTGTCAAAATGATCATATTAAATGTTAAAGTCAACATATAGATGGGTTTAAGTGTAAAAGTGATTATATAATTAACAACAAATGCCTGATAATAATAATAGAATTAAAAAGGAAGGAAAGTCCAATATGGGAAGCAGTCCATGCAGCAGACTCCTAGAATGACAATCGCTGTCAATAACGCTCTGACCTCAGAATCAGCCCTTGAGGCTTCCTGGTCTGGCTGAAAGGCCTGTGAGACCATTTCAGGCATGGAAAGCCAAGACTCTGTGGCAAAAAATATCCTACATGGAGGATCCCTGTGAGACCTCAATGGAAAGAAAGGGTCATCAAAGAAGGATGTACTCTTCTCTGAAGGGAGGAGAGAACATCTTTGCTTATGGCCGTGTCCAAAAACTGATGGAGTCTGTGGTCACAGAAGGCTTCCACAGCCTTGGAAGCCCCTGGCAAGAGCCTCGAGTGATCACTGACATCACAAATAATAGTGTCAATTGTTAAAGGAACAACAGAAGTCACTGTGCAGTTATTCACCATTTAGGACCTCCGTCCATAATGAGTTGTATTATGAGAATCGACTGCAAGTTTTGTTCCCAAACTGTACTCTATATGTTATGTGTGTGTGCATGGGTGCAAATTGTTGAAGTTTATGCTTAGCATGGAGTTGCTCCTCTATATATAGAGTCAAACTAAAAATGAACCATAATGAAGAAGGAGAGGGGAGAGGGAGAGGGAGAGAGGAGAGAGGGAGAGGGAGGTGGGATGGAACTTGGGGCAGGGAGGGTGGGTATGGGGGAAAGAACCAGTGTACCTCTAAAGCTGTATCTATGAAAAAATACATTCATTATAAACAAACAAACAAACAAACTGGTTAAGGTAAAAAAAAAAAAAAAAAGAAGAAGAAGAAGAAGAAGAAGATGGCCCAAGTGCTTGGGCCCCTGAGCTTGCACGGGAGACCTGGAAGAAGCTCCTGGCTCCTAGCTTCGGATCAGCACAGCACCAGCTATTTTTTTTTTTTTTAACATATCATGATTTGTTTATTTGTCCACTGATGGGCATTTGGGTCATTTCCACCTTATAGCTATTATGAATTATTTTTTTAAACTTTTATTTAATGAATATAAATTTCCAAAGTACAGCTTATGGATTACAATGGCTTCCCCCCCATAACATCCCTCCCACCTGCAACCCTCCCCTTTCCCATTCCCTCTCCCCTTCCATTCACATCAAGATTCATTTTCGATTCTCTTTATATACAAAAGATCAGTTTACTATACATTAAGTAAAGATTTCAACAGTTTGCTCCCACACAGAAACATAAAGTGAAAAATACTGTCCTCCAGTTCAACCAATTAACTGTAGGACTTGCTCCTGATTGGAGAGCAGCGTACTCAGCCGAGTTGGGATTGGCGGAGGAGGACTATAAAGGAGGAGAGAGACGGCATGCACCGGGGAACATCTATGGGGAACATCTAAAGGGAACCCGTGCAGCCCCCGAGAGAACCGGCCAGCGGTGTGCCGCTCCCCTGCGGAAGTGGGGAATGCGGCCAGGGGGAACTGCCCTTCCACGGAGGTGGAAGGGATAGTAGCCAACCCGGGAAGAACCAGCAGCAAACCCGGGGAGGGCCGAGCAGATGAAAGAACAGCGCAGGGTCCTGTGTCGTTCCTCCACGAAGAGGGGGAGCGACATAATGGTGCCGTGACTCGGATATGAAGCCTAGGCAGGGCTTAGTGTCGTTCCTCCACGAAGAGGGGGAGCGACATAATGGTGCCGTGACTCGGATATGAAGCCTAGGCAGGGCTTAGTGTCGTTCCTCCACGAAGAGGGGGAGCGACATTTGAGTACTAGTTATAGCATTAAATCTCAATGTACAGCACACTAAGGCTAAAGATCCTACATGAGGAGTAAGTGCACATTGACTCCTGTTGTTGACTTAACAAATTGACACTCTTGTTTATGGCATCAGTAATCACCCTGGGCTCTTGTCATGAGCTGCCAAGGCTATGGAAGCCCCCTGAGTTCACTGACTCTGATCATATTTAGACAAGGCCATGGTCAAAGTGGAAGTTCTCTCCTCCCTTCAGAGGAAGGTACCTCCTTCTTTGATGACCCGTTCTTTCCACTGGGATCTCACTCACGGAGATCTTTCATTTAGGTTTTTTTTTTTCCCCCAGAGCGTCTTGGTTTTCCATGCCTGAAATACTCTCATGGGCATTTCAGCCAGATCCGCATGCCTTAAGGGCTGTTTCTGAGGCCAGAAGCACCAGCTATTTTTTCCATTTGGAGAGTGAACCAGCGGATGGAAGACCTTCCTCTTCCAATATCCCTCTCACTATCTGTAACCCTACCTCTCAAATAAATAAATAAAAATCTTAAAAAAATAAATTAAGGCCGGCGCCGCGGCTCACTAGGCTAATCCTCCGCCTTGCGGTGCCGGCACACCGGGTTCTAGTCCTGGTTGGGGCGCCGGATTCTGTCCCGGTTGCCCCTCTTCCAGGCCAGCTCTCTGCTGTGGCCAGGGAGTGCAGTGGAGGATGGCCCAAGTCCTTGGGCCCTGCACCCCATGGGAGACCAGGATAAGCACCTGGCTCCTGCCATCGGATCAGCGCGGTGCGCCGGCCGCAGTGCGCTGGCCGCGGCGGCCATTGCAGGGTGAACCAACGGCAAAGGAGGACCTTTCTCTCTGTCTCTCTCTCTCTCACTGTCCACTCTGCCTGTCCAAAAAAAAAAAAAAAAAAGTAAATAAAATGGTGGTCTTGTTTTTAATTTGGTTGTAGTGTTTTACTCCATTTCCAAATCCAAATCTAAATGCTTAGTTCCCATAAACATTTGAGAGTTAACAGTAGGTAAGCACTGGAAAGCCGAGGAGGCATTTTAAGAAAGAGCATGTCCTAGCGTGATTTGCACAGAAAATCAAGCTGTAAACAATGGGTACATTTAAAGGGGGCAAAACTGTAATCGGTTACTTTAACTGGGAATCCGCTCAGGTGTTCAGGTGAGAAACTGTTACCAGAAATGATGGAGTGCAGAAGGTAGACTGGAGAACTAAAGTTAACAGAACCTGTAAAAGATGGATACAGAGGGCGAGGGAAAAGAGAGAATCAAGTCTCTGCGTCATTCCATTCCATCGTCATTCCATCTGGCATCTCTCACTGAATGTGGGAGAGGGAGCAGGTCTGCAAGGAAACAGTAATTCAGAATACTTATCAGCTCCTGGTGCCTTTGAGCCTTGTATTCATCCGCCATTGTCTCTATTTCATTGTGTAGGCCTTATCTGTCTTATTTTACTATAAATTCACTCAGGGCAAGGACCAAGTGTTTCTCTCATTGTCCTTTCAAATACCTTTTGGAAAAGCACTCTTATCCAATTTTGCTAAAAAATATAATTCACATAAAATTAGACAAACATCTATCCGACTTTTGTGTACCTCATTAATGAAAGGATCCAGTAGAATGAGCTGCTTCAGGAAGGGTTTGAAGAACGGAGTAAAGTCTGTCAAAGTGAAAGCAAGTATGTCAGAAACCAAAGTGGGTAATGCCTTCACAGGACAAAAATTTAATCTTTTTGTCCGCACCGAACTGAAAGAAAATGCATCACATCTTATCAAGTTTCTGCTATGTAGCCTCTTACTTTAGAGCATCTTAAGACATCTGAATTCTGAGCCCGCGCCGTGGCTCAATAGGCTATCCTCCGCCTTGCGGTGCCGGCACACCGGGTTCTATTCCCAGTCAGGGCACCGGATTCTGTCCCAGTTGCCCCTCTTCCAGGCCAGCTCTCTGCTGTGGCCAGGGAGTGCAGTGGAGGATGGCCCAAGTGCTTGGGCCCAGCACCCCATGGGAGACCAGGAGAAGCACCTGGCTCCTGCCATCGGATCAGCGCAGTGCGCCAGCCGCGGCAGCCATTGGAGGGTGAACCAACGGCAAAGGAAGACCTTTCTCTCTGTCTCTCTCTCTCACTGTCCACTCGGGCGGTCAAGACTACAGACAAAAAAGAAGAAAGACATTTGAGTTCTACTCAATCGTTTCATTTCCCATTTGGCAAATTAGTAAACACCCTGAAGAGAAATGAGAGACACTGCTCATTTTGCCTTATTTCCTGAAACGATACTGATAACCCTGATTTGCCTCACCTGCTTTTCTAAAATACACAATAATTAATATTAAAACAAAAAGCCAAAGCTGGCATAAAACAGATATGCTTATAAACCACTGCTTGGCACCTGCATCTCCTATCAAAGTGTCTAGTGAAAGTCTGAGCTCCTCTTCTTCCAATCCAGGTTCCTGCTAACGGGCATTCTGGGAGCCAGCAGACATGGCTCAAGTACTTGAGTCCCTCCCACTAGATGGAGTTCTGGGTGGTTGGCTTCTACGTGGCCGAGCCCTGGCTGTTGTATTTGGGGGAGTGAACTAGCATATGGAAGAGCGCTCTCTTCCTCTGTCTTTGTTTCTCAAATAAAAATGAAAACAATAAAAAACTGCAACAATTATGAAGAGCACAAGATAAACTTTTAAAAAAATGCAGCTTGTTTTATTTCCATATAAGCTAAAACACTGGAGTTCATTGATTCCTATATTAAATACATAAATTATAAAATAACCATTCATAAAACTTTACATAAATTGATTCCAGTATCTACGGTAATACATACAGTACATGTACATGTTCAGTGTACTTTATAGGACCATTCTGGCAAAACTCAATTTATATTTTTCTTCCATTAATGACCAAGCACTGAAGCAATATACGGCATCATACTAATGAGATGGAGAGAAAGAACCACAATGCAGGCAGCTGATTGGATGAAATCTTGGAGAAACCGGCCCCTGGACTATATCTACACAACAGACATTTAAGGAGTTATGTATTCAACTATCTTAGCTCTATACTCGAGTCCCCACAAAACTGAGCCTTGAAAGTTAAAACATGCATGAACGTTCCTTGGAATGGGAACTTTAAGTTGATAAAGATGCGGGACTTTTTGGCTAATGTTAATACTATAGTTTGTTCTGGACTTTATGTTGCTCTTCCAAAAATATTGCTTGTTTATGGGGCTGGATAATTGAAAAACCAATAGTCTCTGCCTCAGTCAACAGGAGATAGTAGTAATGAACAGAAATGAGGGAGGAGAGAGAGGAGGCACAGGTAGGACTGAGCATAGACACCAGGTGCTAAACAAAAGCATGAGTTACCCAGTAGCACCAGGAAACCCTTCTTCATGTCCTCCACCTTAGGACAGAGGCACTCACTCAACAAGAGCTCACCCTATTATGCTATATTCAGAATATACACATGTATATATGTACATCACCTGTTTATAAACATGTTTAGATTTCTATCTCCCTCATTGTGTTATGCTAAATGGGAGGAAATAGGCACATTTTGTGAGCTGTCAAAATATAAGTGGTTGCCATTATTGGTGGCTACTGGGGATCTGGTTTTGGTCAGGTAATTGCATTATGTACTCTTTAGTAAGTTTGTGGGGTCTCAATTGTTGGCAAAATTGACCCAACATTGTTTATCCTACTGAACTTTCTAACAAGAGTGGAAATAGCAGTATGGGTGTAGAGGTCTCAATGCAAAAAAACAAACAAAAGAAGAAACCTCACCAAGTCAACCACCTGTACAACCAAGTTTGATACAGTAGATTGAGTAGAAAAAATTATAGTCCTGTTTTTGTGACATTGCCTCCATACATTTTCTATCTTCAGTCATTTTGATTAAACATTGGACTTAGATTCTCAACAACAGAAGACTTATTTAGGAAGAACTAAACTACCAAGCTAAAGACAGCAAGGAATGTGAATCTGCCCTGCCCAGTTTGAAATGGAATCAGAGAATTTGGCACTTAAAGAAGCCTTATGAGGATCAACTCCAACCTTCCATTATGTCTGAATCCTCTTGCCAACACATCTGAAAGCCTCAAGGCATTGTATTATCTAGAAATGACAGGCAGTTGAACAGAATGTAAACGTTCCTCCCTTAAGAGCCCCAGCCTCTTTGGAAGGTACAAGTTCACTTAAAGAGGGGGTGGAGCCCTTCCTGGAAACAGTAACTCATGACGTGAACAATCATCTCTACGATTTGATTACGGATCTTTCAAAAGTTATCTCAACAATTTTCATTCCAGAAGATAAACCTAAATTACTAAGGTGATAGATTTAAACAACTAACAGTTATCCTTAAATTGCCAGATTTGGATTACGAAAATTCACAAAGAGTAATATGTAACCCCCAAACAGCATAGTGAAGAATTATTCTGGGGTTTGTGTGTGTCTGTGTGTGTGTGTATTCTATGCCACTCTTCAATATCAAAAGAATGCAATATTTAAAAAAAAGTTGTTCATCTGTATTGATATAATGTAACACAGATGATGCAATTATTTACACATCAACACAAAATGCCAATGAATATTCTTTTTACAGTTTTCATGAAAACTCAGGCAGTTTAAAAAGACATGCTTCATTTAAAAACAGTCAACTTATGAATTACATTGAAGACAATGAACATAGGAATTACACAATGGGTTTACAGAAACAGTCAAAAAAATAAATAAGCAAAAAGGAATGTTTGCCAGAGATTTATTTAAAACTGAAAACAATCAACGTTCAGTTGAAATAAATACTGTAGTACAAGTTATTTGGCAAACCTTATTTTTTCCATTACTAGCAGAGTACCCATGTTCTCTTTCCACCCCAATGATGACCCATGCTCTATATGTCGTCTCTGAGTTGAAGAGAACTATTTTACCATCATGAGCATTTATTGTGAACTGAAGGAAAATCAGGGCAAAATTTATTCTTCCATTTCTAAACCCTTACTGTTGGCAATATATTTATTTAAATTAAAAGGGACATTTTTTCACCAGCAAGTTCTATTGTTTTCGAAAATTGGTTGGGTGGCATTAAGAACTGTTAGAGATAAATACTTTCTAATGTGATAGTCAAATCCAGTCTGTCCTTTTTCCCCCTTTCTCACAAAAATATTTCTTTCCTGAATAACTGTGCTAAATTGGGATTTTTGATCATTATGTTTATTGTCTGAGGAATAAATGTCTTAAGAAGCAATAAGTAAACTAACCCTGAAGGAGGCTGTTCTGATTGCTACTAACTCATTGGCCAGGTGTGTCAGGATAGCACAGATGCAGAAATTAGAGATCAGAGTGAAGATTATCTGCTCTTCTTCAAAAGTGAGGTCACAGTGGCCCTCTATTTACTGCTCCTGAACAGGACATGCAAGGGAAGCATTCACTTAGATATGGTCCATTTCCAAGGATCCGTGAGTGACTGGAACGCACATTTATATTTTTGCTGATACTTTTATGGAAATGGGTAACAGAGAGGCGTAGCTATCAGATGTATTAATTTAGAGGATCATGAGCAAGAACAGGTAAAAACATCACCCTGTTGTCTATAATCTAGAGAAATGTGTTAATGCTAATTTCCTGAATCTTAAGCAAAAGCCAAGAATCCCTCCTCTTGTATTTTGCCCTAAACTCATCTAAAGCTATAAAGATGATCACCCTTGGTGTTGCTGCTCTTGTGTGATTTTGTGTATGACAAAATCCAATTTATAGCAGATATAATAGTAAACCACATCATTTTTGCAAATATTTCTAAATGATTAGCTTCTGATTATTAATTTTAAGCTACAAGTTTCTTGGTGGCAGAATCAAAAAGAAGAGAAGGAAGGTATGCTTGGTGGAGCAGTGGAAGTATGGATTTGTCCAGATGTGCTCTGCAACGTTATGCAAAGTGCAACGAAAGAGTAAGGTCCGAGTTCTGGGCATGTCACTTATCCTCTTCCATATTTTCTGACTGAATTTGGTGGAATTGGGTCACAGACACTGGAGAGGCACTCCCATTCACGTTGCCTGCACAATGAAACTACTGTTCATATTTAATCTGCAACCTAACTAATAGAACAGAATCCAACAGGATAGGTCTGCTTTGTATTTTTCTTGAAGGAAATATCGCCTGACTTTCCCCTAAACGAAAGAGATAATCAGGCTAATAACGTGTCAGTTTACTCCCAGTCTCCAGGTCATGGGGGCTTTGCTGGATAAGGGTGGAGTTTGGCATGATGGCATGCATACGCAAGCAGCAGAGCTATCTCTTCTCTCTTGTTCCATAGCATGAGATGACCTGTTTGCTATAGATTATTATTATTATTGCTAATAATGTCCCAGGTAGTTTGATGGGATAGCTTCAGTGCTTAGATTTAACCAAACTGAAACACTATTTGATTACACAGGGGAATCTTTTATCTCAACAACACAAGAAAGTCAAATAATACAGCAGTTGTAATAATTACAAAGCACTTTGTGCTACTTTAAGCACCTCTTGTTCCAGAATTGCAAAGGAAACTGTATGAAAAAGCATTGAACCCCATTTTGCAGATGAGGAAACTGAGGCACAGAGAGGTTTAGTGACTGGGCCGAAGACACCTGGGTCAGCAGTCAGTACCAGAACGAAGCGTGGGACTCCAGCATTTTAGTTTTCTTGTTCCTCCTTCAGCCACTGTTCTGGCTCGGAAGAGGCCAGCATCAAGACTTGAAGGCTCAGCTACGGGACCCACGAATGGAAAGGTTTGTGTATCATTTCATACAAAGTTTCTGGCTCCCTACACGCACTCTCTATGCTTGTGAGTAGCCCCATAAATAAAACCTTGAAAATTTGAAAAATTGAGGTTGTTTTGTTATCTACAGTAAATGAGGTGTAAAATTAGCTTTTCAGGAACATATATTTGCTCTCAGAATTGAATCCAAGACTCAGTAATACATAACTTAGGAAAAGTACCAGTCTTCTAATTGTCTCTGGTAGAAAAGGACCTTATCAGTTACATAGTGTTATTTTATATAAAAAAAGTAGAGCTATCTTGTTGCTGTCAGCTGTCTGGGAAAAAAATGTTTATCACTCTAAATAACAAGAGGTCAGAATGCCATGGGCATATCAGGATACTTCAAAAAATAATTATAATTTTGCTTAATATTCACATCTCTGTGCAAACCCACCTGTTGGTACACACTTACTTAACACCTCTATTGTGTTTTTACCCAAATCATGTAGCATATTCATTTGCAGGCAAGTTTAAGCAGCCATGTGAAAACCAGCATTTTGGAAACTGAAAGATTCAGAGATGCTCTCTGGCCCTTGTTCCCTATAGATGTAGGCTTCCTACACAGAACTGAGTCGGGAGCTTGTGACTTAGAGTGTCATCTTCATTTTCAATACGAATGAGATCAGTCTGTTGTTGGCAGAGGAATGCCGAAGCCAAAGAACAAGGAAGCATCAAATCTGCTTTCATTTTGCAGGTTCCATTCCCAGGGTCCATTGACTTGGCCGCCATTTTAGTTAGGGTCCCTGTGGTCCATCTCATGTGTCATCTGAGGGATGCATTCCACAAGCTCCACCTTTTACAGAAAAACAACATGGAGAGGGCTTTTCTTCCCGTTCATATTGCAGATGTCTCTGTTCCTGAGTTTAAAGCAATCATAAAGACAGGAAAGCAAATCCCTGTAGTAAGAAACCAGACTTTTCAAATCAAACATTTTATTGTAAATAGCTCCTCATAGGTATTCCTCGTGCTTTATTCCCCACCCACCCTTGGTTTATTTTTGTTGTTATTTTGATTTTTTAAAATGATGTTTATTGTCAGACTAGTGTTTCCGTGGGGTTTGGTGTTACATTAAAAGACCCCCCTGCACAGCAGGGGTTGAATGTTTCGTTGTAACTTTGGTTCCATGCCCAAGACACATCTTTGCTTGATCTGTTGAAACTGGTTTCATTGCTCAAATTTTTCTTTACACAATATATGTTTATAGGTCTTTTCTTCTGGTTTGACATATACATGTTTCATTAAATGCAGCATATATTGTAGATTTTCAACAGGGTCATGTAGGAACTGTCAAGTAAGAAACCTTGAATAATGGCTTTAAAATATACATTTGTAGTCCTGGCTACAGGATAGTTCTTAGTTTTGATGTCCCTCTTGTTGGTGTAAACAATTATGCCATCGTTGAAGGTTTAAAAGCATTTGTCTTTCTGGGGTCTTATCCATGATTTCGGTTACTCTGTAAAATAGAGGAGAATTTCTTTAATCATCACTTCTGTTAATAGCAGAATCAGAAAAAATCTGTTATTTATTAAAGAAAAATATTTTTAGCCTTTACCGCCTCTTTGAGCTGTATGATTTTGTGCAAGTTTCATAACATTGCTAAGTTTAGTTATGTTAATTTTACATGAGAAAATAGAGGTGTCTAGTTCAAGGATTCTTGTGACATAATACATAGACATTATCTCTAAAAGTTCATGGAAAATAGAATAAGTTTATTTTTGTGCAGAAAAGTGTTGAAATCCAAGCATTTTTTCATAATATGCATTCTCATGAGCTTTTTGAATATTCCTAATATGCAAGGAGTTTAATTTTTTTGCATCAAAATAAATTTATCTTTTAGTTCCACTTCTACAAATGCTTTTGAAGTATCCATGTATAAAGCAATTAATTCTTGTCCTATAATAAGTGGCCTGTGTTATTAGATACTGTCGTTGCTACCTCTTTATCTGAGCCTTCTCAGATAATTTCTTAAGAAGCTCAACTGAGGTACCTGTGTTGTGGCACGGCAGGTTAAGCCACCGCCCATGACATCCGCCCATGACATCCCATACGGAGGCCAGTTCAAGTCCTGGATGCTTCACTTCTGACCCAATTCCCTGCTAAATGCATCTGAGAAGGCAGCAGCAGATGGCTCAAGTCTTTGGGCTCTTGCCACCCATGTCACAGACTGGGATGGAGTTCCTGGCTCTGGGCTTCAGCCTGTCCCAGCCCTGGCCATTGTAGCCATTTGGGGAGTGATTCAGCAGATGGAAGATTTTCTCTCTCTCTCTCTCTCTCTCTCTCTCTCTCTCTGTGTGTGTGTGTGTGTGTGTGCGCGCGCGCAGGTGTGTGTGTGTGTGTGTGTCTTTCCCCTCTCTGTCATTTTGCCTTTCAAATGAATAAATGGATTTTTTAAAAAAGCTCAATTGAATCATCATGCCCCCAAATATGAACTAAGATGTGATTTTAAAAGTGGTCCTGTCTATGCTCTTCAATGACTTTTATGTCACATTTCCTCCCCCAAAACTGTTAACCACTAGCAGACTGTCTCTACTCTAAAGTCTGGATTACAGACTCCCTGGAAATCTTGTCACATGGGATTCATGGTTGGCCTAGGTATGTGCTTGGAAAGGTGTTATCCTGGGGTGTTGCCAGTTGGGTCTCTGTGTTCCTTTTCAGATCGATGTGTTTGGATTTTCCCCTGATTAGAAGTCTGGATCATCACACATCCTCCCCCTGCTTCCCCCCACAAAAAGCCACACAAAGCACAGAGTATGTGCTGTCATGCATTGCTTAAGGATATATGAGCTGTAGAGCCTGAGCAACACGAAGAGAGAAAATGAAATTTCATTTTCCCAAGTTATTTCACTTCTTTCAGCCTCAAAATAAGAAAGAAAAGAAAAGAAAAAAGGAAAGGAAAGGAAAGGAAAGGAAAGGAAAGGAAAGGAAAGGAAGAAAGGAAGAAAGGAAGAAAGGAAGAAAGGAAGAAAGGAAGAAAGAAGGAAAGAAGGAAAGAAAGAAGGAAGGAAGGAAAGAAAGAAAGAAGGAAGGAAGGAAGGAAGGAAGGAAAGAAAGAAAGAAAGAAAGAAAGAAAGAAAGGAAGGAAGGAAGGAAGGAAGGAAGGAAGGAAGGAAGGAAGGAAGGAAGGAAGGAAAGAAGGAAAGAAGGAAAGAAGCAAGGAAGGAAGGAAGGAAGGAAGGAAGGAAAGAGAAAAAGTTAGTTAATTTTTCAGGAGGACTTTACTACTGAAATGGTGATCAAGGTCCACACTGGAGAGAAAAGGAGGCACTTCGTACTGCCAGAACACTTCCAATCCCCTCTAGAGAGAGAGAGATTTAAGGAAATCTGCGCTGTATATGTAAGTCAGAGATGTCTGGGATGCATCTTTGTGGAGCCTTTTTGCTGTGAAGACTGGGTGAGACTGGAAGGAAAGAGCACTGGTGAGAAGGAGCTGAGATGACCGTGAGGGGGTGAGGGGGAGGCTCTGAGGCATGAAGAGATGAGCAGTATGCACATACAGTGAGACTTGCTTTTCTGCTTTCCAACCACAGCCTTCACCATCTCAGCTCATCCACCTGAACAGAGGACTGGAGAGGGATGTCAGGGCAGAGGTAGGGACCGTAGACCAGTTGTCTACTTGCTCATCCTTCATCAAAAGGCGTCTGCCTATAAGGAAGATGCAGGTTGCACCACCAGCGGCAGGAGCCGGAATGTGGTGGAGTAAGTCAGACCTTGTCCAGGCTAGGAACAGTACAGTGGGCAAGCTCTGCCCAGTCTCCTGAAGAGCGCACGTGTTTGTCCCCCAGTGTGGTGTCTTTGGTCACTGCTTCCAGCAAAGGCATCAAGGTCTGGTCAGTCATGGCCAGAGAAATAGCCAGCTCCACGTCTAATGGAGTTGGGAGGTAAGATCAACATCCCTCCCTACCTCTCTGTTCTCCAGAAAGATTGAGTGTTGAAGAGGGAGAGAAAGGCAAGAGTTCTCTTGGAGCTGACCATGAAATAACCCCTCCCCAGGGCTACTGGGCATATACTTAGGGGATGATAGGGGAAGAAATGAGATTAAACACAGTCTGAGATCACACTTCTAACCTAGGCAAGACTCCTGAGAGCTTACAGTGACTGAAAATTTAGGAGCCTACTTAAGATTTAGTTACAGAATCTGAGTGAAAGCCATGATTTGAGAAATCAGATCAAATTCATATTTATAGTCCACTGGGGTTAGAACTGTAAATAAACATCTAGTTAATATAATATTCTCCTATTCCCTAGTGGAATGAGAATAGATCTGAATGTATATACAATAGTCTTCAAGGGATACAGACTTGTTTTCCTGTTTGTTATACACATAATAAAACAAATGGGAACTTCAAAATTTTCATGGAAGATGGAATTAAAAGGTTTATATGAGTGCTAACAAATTTTAAAATCTATGCACAATTTTCCAAAATACATGTTTCCATGAACTTTTTGAAGATCTCTCTTATAAACACAAAGTCTTTTACTTGCAATTTCTCCATGCATATACCATCAGAGATTAAATCCTGAATTCTGTGCCAAAGCATACATCATTTTTGACTATCACAACTGAGGTAAAATCCATCATTTGAGTAAACATGTGTGCTTTTAAAGACCAAAAGAGTGTGCTGTGAGTTTAGCCTAGCAGTTTACATGTCTGCAATGGAAGTACCTGGGTTCAATTCCTGGCTCTGGCTCTGGCTCCTGATTCCAGTTGCCTGTCAATAATGCAGACCCTGGGAGGCAGTAGTGATGGCTCAAATAGTTCTTGCCACCCATTTGGGAGACCTGGATTTCAACCTAACCCTTGGCTTGGCATTCTGAATAACTCAGTTATATAAGAGGTCACAGGAATTCTTTTTTAATTTTTATTTACTTACTAAAATTATATTTTGATGGAAGAGAGAGACACAGAGACACATACGTACACACACAGACAGACAAGTGGGGAGAGGTTTTCCATCTGCTGATTAATTCTCCAAGTACCAACAACATCCTGGGCTTCACCAGGCTGAAGCCTGGACATGGAACTCAGCAGACCTTTTCCATGTGGGTGACAAAGCCATCATCTGCTGCCTACCAGAATGTGCATTGGTAGGAAGCTGGATCAGCAGAAGTGGAACAGCCAGGACTCAAGCTAGGTACTCCGATATGGGATGTGGGCATGTCAACCAACAACTTAACCCCTAAGTTAAGCCAACCACCAGCCCTAGGAATTATTTTTTTTTCTATTTATTTATTTGACAGGTAGAGTTATAGACAGTGAGAGAGTGAGAGACAGAGAGAGAAAGGTCTTCCTTCTGTTGGTTCACCCCACAAATGGCCACTATGGCCACCGCTGCACCAATCTAAAGCCAGGAGCCAGGTGTTTCTTCCTGGTTTCCCATGCAGGTGCAGGGGCCTAAGGACTTGGGCCATCCTCCACTGCCTTCCCGGGCCACAGAAGAGAGCTGGACTGGAAGAGGGGCAGCTGGGACTAGAACCCGGAGCCCATATGGGATGCTGGCACCACACGCAGAGGATTAACCTCGTGAGCCACAGCACCGGCCCCCAACCCTAGGAATTATTTTAAGTGGGTTTCTAACAGTGTTGAGCTTCAATTTCCTCCTCTGTAAAACAGATACTGCAATTGTCATTTCTGAGGCTTGACCATATGCCATCAGATTTTTGTCATAGTGTGTTGTTGGTACATTTGACTTTTTTTAAAAGATTTTTTTTTATTTGAGAGGTATAGTTATAGACAGTGAGAAAGAGATACAGAGAGAGAGGTCTTCCATCCATTGGTTCATTCCTCAAATGGTCACAACGGCCAGAGCTGGGCCTATCTGAAGCCAGAAGCTTCTTCTGGGTCTCCCATGTGGGTGCAAGGGCCCAAGCACTTGGGCCATCTTCTACTGATTCCCAGGTCATAGCAGAGAGCTGGATCAGAAGAACAGCCAGGACTAGAACTGGCACCCATATAGATGCCAGCACCACAGGTAGAGGATTAACCCACTGCGCCACAGTGCCAGCCCCACATTTGACTTCTGTAAGGGTCCCACCATCCAACTAGTTACACCATCTGGACATCTAACGACTATCTGTGGCACCTATCATTTCCCCAACCTTCATGTACAATCTATCATATAGTATCCAATAAGTGGTAGCTATTGCTATGACTTCCATTTAACAGATGAGGTTACATTGAGGATTGTTAAGTTATTGGCCTGTATGAGCCTAATGGGAAAGACATTTGAAGTCAGAGGATCAGGAGTAGTTTCCTGATTTCCACTGGGGTGGGAAAAATGAATGGATACTCACATTAATCAGTTGACAGTGGTGTGGGAAATGCTGTCTGATTAAATGGACACACTTCTTGAAGACAAGACTCACTATGCACTAGGAACTTGACTTTTAATGAGCCTTTCTATGTGTCAGCTACTATACCAGTTGCCTTGCCTATATATCACTCAACCCTCAGAA